GAGACAGGGTTTCTCTGTGTAGCTTTGCACCTTTCCTGGAACTCACTTGGTAGCCCAGGCTGGCCTCGAACTCATTGAGATCCGCCTGCCTCTGCCTCCCGAGTGCTGGGATTAAAGGCGTGCGCCACCACCGCCCGGCAAGACTGAATTCTTAAAGTGTTTGGATTTGTAAGGCTGTGGGACTTTTTAAGTTAGTAAAATGTTTTGTATTGTGATGTTTATATTAATGTGTGATCTTGGGGATGAACAAGAAAAGAAAGGTTGTGACTTTACAGTGATTTGTTTATGTGTCAGGTTGACAAGGGGTCAATTGTGTTGGATAGTTTTATGTCCTAAGATAACCAGGTGTGGTGACAATACCTGTTATCCCAGCATTCTGGAGGTTAAAGTAGAAGGATAGGAAGGGGACTTAAGGCCTTATCTTAGGGTTAACAGGAATTCAGTAAAAAGTTTTTAGGTGGGGAATGACTCAGAAGAAATTATTATTATAATATTATTATTATTGTTATTATTACATACACACACACACACACACACACACACACACATGCTTTTTTCAAGACAAGTTTCTTGGCTGGCCTGGAACTCTTTCTGGTAGAACTCTCTCTATAGACCACGCTGGCCTCGAACTCGTAGAGATACTAAGAGTTGGGAATAAAGGTGTATACCACCACTGCCTGGCAGAAATTATCATTTTGAAGGTGAGTCTCACTGTATGGCCTTGGCTGGCCTGGACCTCACTATATATATACAAGATTGGCCTTGAACTCAAGGAGATCCAGTTGTTTCTGCCTTTTGAGTGTTGGAATTAAAGTTGCGTGCTATCACACCTGTCCTTACTATCACTCTTATTATTGTTATAGTGGGCATTGAACCCAGGGCAGCACGAATGCAGGACAAATGTTCTACCACTGAGCCATGTCTCAGCTTTGTTATGAGATAGGGCCTTGCTATGAAACTCAGGCTGGGCTTGAATGTTCCATCCTGCTGCCCCTCTCCAACTCCTAAGTGGTAGAATTACAGGCACACAGCTCAGAGACTTTAAAAAATAAATTTTCTTGGATAAAGCACAGGGACAAATAGCCAAACGAATGGAAACAGAGGGAGGGAGAGAGAATGCCTTCATAAGATCATGCTGTATGGCATTTTCTTAATTAGTGATTGATTGGGGAGGGCCCAGCCTATTGCGGGCGGAGCTATCCCTGGCCTGGAGATCTTGAGTTCTATAAGAAAACCGCTCTGAGCAAGCTAGAGGGAGCAAGTCAGTGAGGAGCACCTCTTCATAGCCTCTGCATCAGCTCCTGCCTTCAGATTCCTACCCTGCTGGAGTTTCTGTCCTGACTTCCTTTGATGGTGAACATTGATATAGAAGTGAAAGCAGAATAAAACCTTTTCTCCCCCAACTTGCTCTTTGGTCATGGTGTTTTGTTGCAGCAATAGAAACCCTAACTAAGACAAACTGGTACCAGCACAGTGGGGTATTGCTGTGACAGACCTGACCATGTTTTTTGGGGAACATTGTCAAAGGACTTTGAAACTTTGGGCTAGAAAAGCCATTGAGTGTTGAGAGTTCAGTGGAATAATCTGTATGAGTTTGGAAGATAAGCATACTGGGAGTGCTGGGCGATGGTGGCACACACCTTTAATCCCAGCACTCAGGAGGCAGAGGCAGGTGGATCTCTGTGAATTCGAGGCCAGCCTGGTCTACAGAGCGAGCTCCAGGACAGCCATGGCTACACAGAGAACCCTGTCTCAAAAAAAAAAATAAAACAAAACAAACAAAAAGACTGTTGAGAGCAGTGCGGATGATGGAGGCCTGACTTGTGAAGTTTCAGAGGGATGCAATGACTTGACCAGGCCTTTAATGTGAAGAATCTGTGGTGTCTGGTCAGCTGGAGTTGAAGAGTTGTCTGTGATTAACAAGAGACCAGAACCACTAAAGTAAAACCTTGGTTTGCTGGAACAATAGGTCAAAATAATCAGATGTGATTAAGAAAAGACCAGGTCACTGAGGTGAAGTCTTCTGGGAAGTGTTTCCTCAGAGTCAGCACACAGAATGCTGTGTTCCAGAAATGGTCAAGGTTGTACCTCTCGTGTGGCTGCTGAACTTGGTAGTATGAGTCACCCAGGTGGTACTGGGCATGAAGAGGTCATGGAGAGCCGCTGAGGCTTGGCACTATGTGGCAATGCTGGAGTCCCTGAAGAGAGCACAGGAGAGGTTATTGGTGAACGTGTAGCCTAGTTTCGGCAGAAGATTCCAGCATTTTGGAGATGCCAGTACCATGGGATAGCCAAGAAGGGCAGCAGTTGTGGAATGGAGCCACCTGGAGCCTAGAAGACAAGCTGTGTGTGCTGCAGAGGGCAGAACTGGAAAAGTGACTCAAGCCCTTTGGAGGAGCCCAGGAGGTTGTGAGTGGATCCCAGACGCTGCATGCTGAGTTATTTACACTGTTGGAGTTTGGTTTTGCTTTGTTCAGATAGTTACTTTGCCCTATTTCTTCCCCTATTGAAGTATGAAAGTACTTATTTTTTTTATGTTACAGGAGCCCACAGTTGAAATACTTTACATTTTTTTAAAAAAAGGAAATTTTGGAGTTTTACATAGAATTTGGATTTTAAAAGAAACTGGATTTTTTTTTTAAAGACTGAATTCTTTTTTTTTTTT